GCAGCGGAGGCGCGTACGTGAGCGCGCACCCCGCAGGCCTTCCACCGAGGGAGCTGGGCCCGGCAGCGACTGCGCATGCTGTGAACGCTGCCCGCGCTGGAAAGCCGATGTAGGCTCAGACCCCCAACGGAGGAGTGGTCCCTGGCGACGGGGAAGGATGGGAGAGCCTGGAGGCTCGGTCGGAGGTCAGGGTGACGTCTTCCAGGCCGCCGTGGCATGTAAGTTTCTGCTTTGTATATAGTAGGACGTTACATTTACAAGGCTCTCATCACCTGACTACATGAGGCTTATTAGTATTCCCGAAAAGCAATCTTGTTTCTGCATTTGGACGCCCCACCAGGCCTTCTCAGGTGGAGTGGCCCAGTAGTCATGTCCTTGGAACTAGGAGGCCTTCTCTGTGCCAGGAACAGATTATGTTAGGTGGCTAGAGATACAGCTGGTGGGATGATCAGGAGCCCAAATCCTAGCCACCACCGGCACTCCATTTTTTAGATTTCCTCACATTTTGAAATGGTGAAACTGAATGACAAGCAATTTCTGTATAAAGAGACCATTCTCCCCACACATGAAATGTTTAACAGATAACAGAAAAAAAAAATGTTTAAAGGTACCTGAGAATCATTTTCCTCACCCTAACAAGTACAGACCACCTCACGCCCAGATAAGAGAGCAGTTTCAAGGTCAAAAAGTAATGTTCAAAAACAATTTGGTAGTTCTGCAAAAAGCTAACTACAGAGTTACCATGTGATCCAGCAATTCTACTCCCAGATATATACCCAAGAGAAATGAAAACATCTTCACACAAAAGCTTATACATGAATATTCATAGCACCAGTTATAGCCAAAAAAGCAGTGTCCATCAATTATGGGTGGCTAAACACAATGTAGTACATCCATACAATGGAAAATTATTGGGCCGCAAAAAGGAATGAAGTACTGATTCAACATTTGTGAACCTTGAAAATATGCTAAGTGAAAGTAGCTAGACACAAACGACCACGTACTGAATGATCCATTTATAGTTAACCTCCAGAATAGACAGATCCGCAGGGACAAACACATTAGTAATTGCAG